GAAAGAGAGTTGCTTTTTTTTTCCTATATCGCACACATTAATGACCACTCCCGCCGTGGCTCACACGGTAATAAAGCAGCGGGCGCGGAATCGTAGGATTCAATGCACCTTGTTCGGCTCTGACCCATTTCCGGTTTCGCCGCGGTCCATCGCGGTCGATAAAACGTATCGGTCGACTATGGAATCCTAGCGTAGGTTGCACGCGGTTGCAGCACGGAAACGCAATTCGCGGGACATCCCAGATCGAGATGTTGCATACGTATGTCCGTATCCACTATTCGGGACGCATAACGAAACACACGATGTCGTGTACAACAGCGTCAGCACTCCTCGCATTAGCGATCCATGAAAACACGCGCATCATCGTTGCTGGTTGACCGACGAAGCGAGCCCTCCTCTTGAAAATTCCTCATACGCATTCGCGAATCGTACGCGAATCGTGCTAGAAATCAAGCGACACATTGTTACGGCGAAATACGTAACACGCGTTTTGTGAATAATCACGAGATGATTTGTGAAATTATTATAAAATAAATTATTCTGCGTAAGATAAAATCATTATAGACGAAAAAGCTACAGAAACGTCAAGTTTAAGGAAGACAATCACGTAATAATTTTATTCGTCTAAAATTTTGTCTTATATTCCTCGTATTTAAAATATATATTAAATAATTGTGTATTTTTATATTCAAAGCACATAAGAAAATTTTAGGAAAGATAAATAAAATCAATATAATATCGCGATCTCTCTACCATCATTATTCTGTTGATTTTCAATGATTAGAATTGCGTGCCTGCCCGTGCGCGCGAGAGAGAGACTTATTATATCACAATATTCATTAAAGTAACATTCCGTTTTGCAAAAAGAATATTTGTGCAAGGGAACTCGTTTGCTGAAAAGCGAAGTGCACTTTGCGCCTGGTGAATTTCGGGGATAACATCACTGCAGGACGCCCGGGTATCCGCCCTTGACGGCCCTGCGGCGTCGAATGACAGGACGAGCGGGTCAATGGAAACGAGCAATTCGATCCTGCCGCTGTCGACGTGTACTTCGAATGACCCTTGTCCAGGAATAATTGTACATGCCTAGATTGCCTCGGCGAGGTAACGCGACATTAGCGAATCGAGAAAAAGTGAATACGTTGATTCAAAAATCAATACTGTGCGTGCTTTCTCACTTTAATCCTGAATTTAAATCTCGAATATATATTAAATCCTGAATTATTATCCTCAAAATTATAATTACCCTCTCGTAATCATTGCTACGTTGTAAATTATGTTGCAAAACGACAGATGAAATAAATCTCTGCTTTCACCGGTATGAAACAATATTGTATGCCGTTACTTTGTTTCTGTAAAACTTCAGTGTGTATATCGTAACTTTATTATAATATTTATTACTTCTATCCCCGCTATAGTTTCCCGCTGACTTCTTTCCTTTAAATAATTTTTTCCCGTACGCAAAATGCATTTTTGTTACACACAGTGACCCGCACAAATACGCGGGATCACATTCCCGTTACTTTAAAATAATATGGCAAAAACCGGCGAACGCCCGCGCGAAAGCGGCGATTAATGTTGAAACAGTGTCGATTGATATTGACTGCGATGCAATAACCGACGGCAATGCAGGCGACGCCGATGCTGCGCCTTGCACTGTTACAGGGAGGACGAAATACGAATGCGCGCCGTAATAGTAGTAGTGGTCTGGTGCATATGGAAATCAGACCTTTCATCGATCGGATCGATGGGCTGACGCATCGATCGACACACGAGACGACGTTAGCGCGCCGGACCAGATGAACGCAACCTGGGGAATAATGTATACTATCGGAATATCGACACACTCTCTGACAGATCGGTACACACTGCCCCACTTTATACGGCGCCGCGCCAGCGAAAAATTAACTATTCATTCGCGCGAACAACAACAATAGCCGCCGAATGAAATATCGAAAGACGGATGCCAATTTGCGGAACCCAGATGTTCAATTGTTTTCTCTCTACGAGAATATACTCTTCGAAATTAATGGGAATATGTGAGGTTGGAAAAGGAGAATAGTCGGAAAAGATAGATAAATTCTTATAGATGAATACTTGAGTAAGCTACAGCGAATTGCCATTGTATCGAAATTTTAAGGATATTATTGAAGTGATTACAATAAGTTTAACGGTTTGCGATTAAAGAATTATTCGATTGTTCTATAATATCTTCATTAGTATACTAGTAATTTATCCAACAGGATATTGAATTTGCAACTCATATTTAGAAATGATTCTTGATGGCAAGACATTAATGTGATATGTCACTTCATTAAAGATCTGTCAACTATTTCGCGTTCGCGGCCGAAAGAGAGCCGTTAAAATACGTCAGAAGTCTGATACAACCGAGACACATTTCCTTAATAGGAAAACTTTTCACTGCGGGACATTATGCGGCGATTCGATACGCGGTGCTAATGCGATTTAATGAGAGTCGATCAAAGAGGCAAATAATGCGGCTGAGAACGACGAGCGTTCAGAAATGCAGCAGCGCGTTAACGTCTTCCGGTCAATTAAGCTTCATTGTGTCGCGAAGGAAACGGAAGTGATATTAGCTCGACATACAATTCTTTATGCTGACCTTGTGTGAGTTTAAACGTCGAGGTTGTTACCCCAGCTAAACCCTCGCTCAGGC